TTATGTAATGTTAATATTGTTTAGGAGCCTTAGGGAGCGATTCTGCTGAATACAGATGAATAATGCATTTTTTGCAGGAGTTTCCAGTTGAGGCACTTGATGATGGTATGTCTGGAATCTCTCCACTCCCTCTGCACAGTGAGTGCCAGAGCTCTCAAAGTTTGAAGGACAAATAATTTTGCTCCGCACCCTTTTCTGTAACCTGGCAAATACAGTACATCCATTGTGCTTGCTAAGGGATCCAGGCTAACAATAGTGCATTTATTAACTGGGTTTCTACTAATCTGAGTTTTTTTCTAGAAATGTTCAAATGAAGGGTAAACCTTTTGTGCCATGTTGTCTGTGAATGAATTTTTCAATTTCTAAGTTAAAAGCTGAATTGCACTTCTTTGTCCAGCAAAACCTTGCTGCCTTGGTGACACTTTCATCCTGGGGACAACTGTCAGCTTCCCTGATCTGTGTACCCTGTATAATGAGTAAATCTAAGTTCCCTCCTAGGTACCCTCATATTGTAGTGAATTCTGATACAGTGGGAATTTGAGGGAGACACAGCACCAGCATACCGAGACATCCCTTCTGTACTGCACCAAAATGATGGTTCTGGGAGAAGAAAACAGAAGAGCAGTCTAAAATTCCTTTACCATATTCTAAAAGTGAAGCTCAAACCACTAATGATACCTTAAATAAGTGCTATAGATATCATCTGGGATTCTCTTACATGTGAATCATTAGTCTACACTGTGCCTCAATGACCTACCACTCATACAGTTTTCCAGGAGAGTCCAGGAAACTTAAAATAATGCTGCACGCTCTTGTGTGAATGTGTCCTTAAAGCTGAGCTGGTCAGCACTGTTGGTTGGCACCATGTGGTGCTCCAACCAAGGCAAGCACAAGCACAGAGACCCCCAGTCGGTGATGGGCAGGCTCGAGGAGGAAGAAAGAATAAAAATTCTTGCACCAAAACATTCTCAGCTTTGAAAGTCAGTTTTATTGTAAACTATTATAACAGACAAACTGAAGAAGGTGGCATGACGTTTGCCCTCACAATGTAGATTTCTGACTATGAAACTCCTGTGTAACTCTTTAGAGAAGTCAGATAGATTGAGTGTTTTTACCTCATGAGACAGGCTTTTCATTCTTGTGTTAATACAAGCTTTTCTTGCATTGCTCCTCTGGAAGAACCAGGTGTAATCAAGCTTACATTAGTTTCTGCTTCAAGCAGACAAAAACCTGCATCACACAGCTTATGTTTTAACTTCAGAGGTGAAGAAAGGGACAGTAACTCAACTTCTGCTTGCATCCCACTGTAAATCCCCACACTTAGGTATATCATCTTCACCAGGCTTTAACTGGTGCCTTGCATTGTTTATGACAGCAGGAGACCTTCAGGGCCAGTGCTCACTCACTAGCAGGCCAACCAGTCAGAGGAGGCCTGAGTACAGAGAGAGGCTAAACTGAGCTGGAAGGTCAACTTGATTAGTGTCATAGATGAGTGATGAGTGAGAACGACTGGAGGTATAGTCATTGTGGAATCCCTTGGTGAATGCGACTGTTTTAGTGGAGCTCAGACAGACTCTTCCTCAGCCTAGCCTCTCCACTGGGTACAGGGCAAAGGGCAAAGCTTCATAAGGCAATGCTTTTTGCCATCCTGACTGTCGTGTGTTCTGGGGTTCAGGCTCTCCATTCACCTAATGTGACTGCCAAGTGCTCAGGCTGTGCTCTGAATTCACCTGTCGAATAGCTGGTGCTAGGTTGTTTCCCCTTCAACTCTGCAGGGTAGGAGCACCCAGCTGCAACTTTGTCCCCACACTGGCAAATGATGGGCTGTGCTCAGGCTTGAGCAACCCATCGAGTAAATCCTGTCTTCTAGATATAGATGGAGAAAGAGGGGACTTCCTAAATATGATAGCCCGTCTGATGGGATAGCCATCAAATAGGTGGGAGAAAGCACTAGGGTGTCAATCTTTGTAGCAATTTAAAAAGTACTACGTTATTTTTAATGGCTCTTGAAACAGATATGTAAAATCCTTGCCTCGCAAACCCCGGGATCCGTTCCCGGAGCATCACTGTCGGTCAATGGCGGAGGCACACCGCCAGGGGGCAGGGTTTGTCTGTCCTTCAGGGCACCGCGGAGCAGCCTCGGAGCAGCTGTTTATAGAGAATTTTCGAAGAGAGGGTAAGAGGGGTCTTTAATTCTAGTTACAAGAGCACGCAATAAACCAGGCCTCCATCTCCAAAAATGTTTAAAACTTAAATAATAATTCTAGGGGACAAATGCTTCTTCTTTGATCACAAAACAGTGTTCTGCAACCTAAAGTCTTCAGTAGCTTAACAACAGGTAAAATTAGTTTTTGTGGCCTAATGCAGACTGCAAACCTTTCCTGAAACCATAGTTTTCTTTGGAAAATATGTAATTGACTGCTCCTTCCTTCCTTCCTTCCTTCCTTCCTTCCTTCCTTCCTTCCTTCCTTCCTTCCT